GCACTTACCTTTTAATTTTCAGGATGTGGAGGAATCTGATGACTTTTTCATGCTTTCAGTTTTAGCTAACGAGAATTTGAATCCTTTCTTTGTGTTTAGATTACAAAGAAGAGGGCTTCCCACAAGCCAACTTATGAAAATTTACGGAAGAGTTTAGAAGCCATGAAGTCCCATTGTTTGAAGAATGGAGTCACTGAAATCTCGATGCCCAGGCAAGGAAATTAAGGGCCCTACCTGAAGAGTTAATTGATTGATGAGGTTTACTATTTAACCCCAAAACAAACAACTTCAAAGCTGAGCCAGAAAAGTAGATTCAAAGGTAGACAAATAGGGAAACCTGTAAAGCCAGAGAAAGGAGTGTGATTTCAGGCCACAGCATAGCCATTTTCTAGCCTTAGTCAATGGATTAGGATAAATAACTTGAAACATACACCTGCCTCAGCCTACTCAGTGGGGAGGACTGATTGTCAGTCACATTGCATTTCCTCCCTCTGATGCTTAAAACTTGGTGTCTGCAGTGTAAGCCAGAGACTGAGCAATTGTGGTTTCCCTCTTGTGTGACTTCTGGTCTCCCAGACCTGTTAATCCTGTTGGAAGAAAGTTGTAAGTGATCACTGTCTTTTGCACTGCATGCTTGTTTTGTGGTCAGTGTGGGTAGCAGCCAAGGATTTGTCTCTGTGATTTCCCAGAATCGAGCTATTGGGGACTGAAAGGAATGACCTTGGTTGTTCTGTGACTACTTCCTTTTCAGGATATTGTCATCCAGTTTAGAATTAGTGCTGACCCTACATGCTGATTAATCACAAGTCCCAGTTACTTTGAACATGTGTACAATGACCATTATTTCACACCAGTCATAGTTTATATGGTGTGTGTGTGTGTGTGTGTGTGTGTGTGTGTGTGTGTGTGTGTGTGTTGCAAGCCTGGGGCTTGAATTCAGGGCCTGGGCACTGTCCCTGAGCTATTTTGCTCAAGGCCAGTGTGATGCCACTTGAACCACAGTTCCACTTCTGTTTTGCTTGTTGGTTTATTTTTGTTACTTAGTTGGAGATAAGAGTCTCATGGACTTACCTGCCCAGGCTGGCTTGTGACTATGATCCTCAGATTTCAGCCTCCTGAGTAGCTAGGAATACATTTAGCCATTTTAGTACCTGTCTGGCTATAGACTAATTTTTTTAAGATTACAATTCTTTAGGAATTTGGTTTGTAAGGTAGCATTTTTAAAGCTACTTTTTTGTCCCTGGGGTTGTTAAGTACCTATAAAGTAATGTCTTGGGAGGAAGGTACCAAGGGTGCTTTTGTGGAATGAGATTTCATGCCAGGGTATTGTAAAGACTTTACTCTTGATTGTCAGCTGCTTGGTATTTCCCAGTATTCCTTCTTGACTTTTGTAGAGATCTTGTCCTTTGTCCCACTTCTTTTTTATCATCATTAGCATCCCATTATAAGCATATTTGAAAAGTACCAGGTTTTTCTCATCCATTGACAGACAATTTTCATCTAGAGTGCCAGTGTAATAGTGTGAAACAACTGTAAAGTGCTACCTTATTAAGCAAAGAGAAGTGACAGCTGTTGGGTGTTAGGGCTGCCTAGGAACAGTAACAGGTGATGTTATAAGAATTGACATCAGACAGTTACTATGGCTATAAGTGTGAAGCTAGATGACTTTATGCTTTGAGTGTCTTCAGCCCAAAAGAAGGGGGAAAGGAGCAAAGTCCTAGCTCCTTCCATTACAACCAATGGAGGTGTTTTGTCTTTTTTAGGATTGGATGTGGTCTTGATCGTCTGCAGTGGGAAAACGTATCTGCTATCATTGAAGAGGTATTTGAGGCAACAGACATCAAAATTACTGTGTACACACTCTGAACAGATGAACATTTTGGACGTGTCCGTGTTCTCCTGTGTCATCCCTCCTTGGCCATAGGAATGAGCAAACCGACTTTAAAATGAGCAGAGGAAAATGTTCATGTAAAGGACTCAATGTCATAGGCAATACCTAGGCTGCTATATATCATTGCTTTTGGGACTCTGGTGGAGGGATTACTTGGGATATATTTCTAATTTTTTTTCAAGAGATTCAGGAGTATTGGCCTAATACTAGGTGAGGAAAGGAGGGAGATAGGACTGGTTTTGCTCCAATATGTGTCCTGATTTGTTTAGCTGACCACTAGGTGGCAGCATTGAATCTTTTTCTCTGCTTTTTTACAAGAAATTTCAGAAAGGGAAGGTTTGAGTTACTTAGGTTTGTTTTTATTAGTTGTACACTTAACTTGTCATCAAGTTTATCCTAGGAGAAAAGTATGTGTTGTTTTGTTTTCATTACAAAATAGAGAATTGAGGTCTACTTTGTTACCAAGAATTTATGATGACAAAAAATGGAAAAATAAATCTTTTTCTTGGAGTTCAGTGAGGTTCTCTGCTCGTGTCTGTGCTGTTTTGGACTTGGGTAACAGGAGACAGGAGGGACTAATTTGAAGAGTCTGCAGATGTTCTACTGGAAGAGTAGCAAGGTAAGAAATAAAAATGAACAAGAACTATGGGTCAGCATGATTAGAATGCAGGATTTAGAATCTCATGGTAAGTTCTATTCACTGCATAGTTCCTGCGTCTGAATGCAACAAATCATACTTAAGTGCCTGATATTAGGTTAATGGTATAGTGAATCCCAAAGTCTATATGAATCTCTTTAAAAGCATAATGATCTTTTCCTCAAAAATTATTTTATTTCGATGTCAAGGAGGGATTATAGGTTTGTATTTTGAACCTCTCTAGAAGATTCTGGCATGTAGCAGCTAGGGTCTCAAGAATAACCAGTAAATATTAGTTGGTCGTCTTTTTCCCAAACTGGGAGGGCAAGTCCTCTCTTGTTTTTATGGTAGGAAAGTAGAGTTCATTGGTTTAGCCAAGGGCTTGGTATTAAAGCCATTGGGGAAACTGAGTGTCTCTCCCTTCTTCTCATCATTGGTGCTAAAAGTCAAAAGTAGCTGGAACTGCTACTGGTTTCTCTCTCTCTCTCTCTCTATCTCTCTCCCTCCCTCCTCTCTCTCCCCCCCCCCTCCCCTCCTTCTCTCTCCCCTCCTTCTCTCTCCCTCTCCCCCTCTCTCTCCTCCTCCCTCCCTCTCCCTCTCTCCCCTTCCTTCCTTCCTTCCTTCCTTCCTTCCTTCCTTCCTTCCTTCCTTCCTTCCTTCCTTCCTTTTCTTTCTTTCCTTTCCCACCCTCCCTTCTCCCCTTCCCTCCCTCCCTCCTTCTTTCCCTCCCTCCCTTCCCCCTCTTTCTTTCTTTCTTCTCCTTCCTTCCTTCCTTCTTCTTTCTTTCTTTCCTTCTTTCTTTCTTTTCCTAGGTCTGTTATAGAATTTGCTGCTTTCTTTAGTGTTAAGAAAACAAGTAATGGATGTTAGAATGGGCTTACGGGAAAGCCAGGATCTTCGTACTTTAGACTCGTGTTCTTATCACATTTCAATCTGCTAGGAGACAGCAGTCTCAGAAAGTACTAAACTATATCTTTGCAGAGCAGTCAAATGCTGCCTGGCTTTGGGAGTAGGTTGGGTGAGCAAGTTCATTTGCAAACTGTTAATCTGAGGCTTTTCTGGAAGTTTGCTTCTATGAAACAAAATTGAAGGGGAAAAAGGAGGAGGAAATATCTAAAGGCATAAAAGTGAATGAAAATGGGTGGTAGCAGACAGTTAAGTATTTTGTTTAACTCTGCATAATAAATCTTTTTATTTTAATTTTTGATATGGTGAGGATTGGACCCATGGCCTTGTACATCTAAGGCAAATGCTGTTTCAAACCTTTCCTTCTGTAAGTAAATCCGAACATTTGGATCAAAACATTGTTTCCTACACTTGTAGAAAAGGTTTTAGCTAATTTTTTTCATGAAGTATGAGCTTTGTTTCTTTTGCTGAAACCTCTTCCCACCTAGGATTGTCTGCTGGTGGAATGCTGGGACCCACCAGAGTTGTGATAAAGAATTCTTGTCAGTTGCAGATAGTCTTGGGATCAAATTCCAGTGACTTATCACACTTGAGCCCTGGGGTAGGCAGCGGGGCTTGATAATCAGAATGAATACGTTCTTCTTGGAAACCCAAGTTAGAGTTTGGCAAACACTCAGAAATTCATATGCAGAATTTTGCTTCTTCAAACAAACCTCTGAAGAAATAACATTGTCCTGCCATCACTACCATGTGCCAGGTGTTGAATGCTATTACACAATGTACATGTGAGCACTGAATTGCTTTTCACTCCTCTTTAATCAAAAGCTAATTTCTTATTAGTAGACAGTTGGATTGTAGCTACCTTATTTCAGTCCCTGTGCTTTTTGTTCTGTCCTCTGCCATGTGTCTTCAGAAAAGGAAAAAACTCTCATTTATAAGTAATCCAGGGGGAGAAATGGTTTTTTCTTTTAAATGTTAGGGAGGGGCAATCCCAGATCCTGCACCTGCTAGGCAAGTACTCTACCACTAGGCTACCTCCCAGCCCTTTCAGAAGGAAGTATTAAGATCAAGATAACGTGGGAAGTCTGCATGAGAGAGTTAGTGCTGGCGTTGTCTCATCAAGTTCTGGTAGACTTTCCTCTTCACAATGTAATGGCTTGGTGCTTAGCCTAGGACACCCCATCCCAAGTCTTACTCCGTTTATGGTAAACTTCCCAACGTGCAAGTTCCTTAAGAAACCAGGCCACAGAAACCTCACACTACTTTTTTATTATTGTAAATGTTGCTGTTTTGGGGGTTTTTTTTGCCTTAAAAAAAAAACAGCTCAACAACTTAACATCAAATGCATTTCTGGACATATTTCAAAGATCTGTACCATGGGTCTGAGGACCTTTGCCTTAAGTACCCTCATTGAGGGGTCCTTAAAACCTTCAGCCCCAGATGCCTGGTGTTCATATATGGTGGCTTTTTTCTCCTTGTAGACCACTTTCCCCTTTGCCAAGGGCAGTGGTAAAGAGACAGGGGTAGCCTAAATGAATTACAGCAACGAGAAGTGTGTTTTGAGTTCCCTGAGGGCCTTGTACAGGAGGGTTGGTTGGTTTTAAAATGTTGTCCAGCTCCAAGTAGTGATAGGAAGACAGGCGTGTCCCAAATAGCATACAAATCACTGCTTCTCTTGCAGGCAGCAGGCAGACCTTTGTAAAAAAAAAAAAAAAAAAAAAAGCATATTATCAAGAGTCCTGCTGCTACTCAACAGTTACGCAAGTTTCTGAGCAAAGGTTGCTGGATGCCTTCCCCAGCAAGTCCCTGGACTTCTCCTTTGTACTCTCCTGTGGTTCCTGGCTGACTTGGTATTCCATTTACTTCTTTCATATTTTGGTGTGATTTACACAACTGAAAATCTAGATCTACTTTAATTCTGTTGTCTTGAAAAATATATGGCTAGACATTCTGTTATTACTATGTTCTTAAAGCATGAAGTAAAAGATAAGTCAGGTGCAGGATGCTGAGATTGGGAGGATCAAAATCAAAGGCCAGCTTAGGCAAAAAGTTCATGAGACCCCTTCTCAAGTAACAGCTGGGCATGGTGGTGTGCGCTTATTATCCCAGCTAGTAGTAGGCTGAGATGGGGAAGACTGCGGTTCCAGGCTAGCCCAGCCAAAAAGTTTGGGGGACCCTGGCTCAAGGGAAGCATGCTAACAGCTCAGTTTCATATGTACACTAAAGAACGAGGTGTATATGTATTATTCAATTAAATCTAACTTAGCAGTGAACTTTTCTCTCAACCTGGTTTTTGTTTCCTCCTCTTCTTCCTTTGTTCTTTCTCTCCTCTCCCTTATTAGTATTAGATAAAACCCCTCAATTATTATCTAAAATACAACATTAATAAAAAGTATAAAAATAATTTTAAAATCCTCTTTGAAATGATTAATTTTAATAAAAAAAATCTCTGGGAAGCAAAGCAAAGCAAAACAGAAAGTCGTCTCTGAACACTTACTAGTGAGGGAGCTAGAAGAAGTGGCCCTATAAAAGATGTTTAAGAAGAAATAATGAAGAAGAAATAGTGAGGCTCTTCTACTAAGTTACCATCATCATTCTGTAGAGTCTCGGTTGGGTCTGTAATGAGAGCGAGAGTACTGACACCAACAAAATCTTGGAGGAATTTTAAACATTTAAGCTTTGCCTTTTCAGAGGTCACTCTTGGAAATTGCCTATACTGCTACTGTCCATGACTCAAAGTACTATTCTCATTTTATTTGATCAGATTGCCACATGTTATTGCTCTACCATAGACTCTGAATTCAGTGATTTTTTTTAAGAAAAAGGACACAAAGTATGAAAATTATGTCTTCACAGACTATCAGATGTCTATTCTGAATATCTAGGTGTCCTGTGTGTGTGTGTCTCACAGGCAACATCTGCCCGCATCAACCTCTGGGACACTATTTTCTAAACATGCCGATGAAACAGTATTGTCTCTTAAGGGTATTAGGAGTGAGAAACACCAAAAATAAATAGAATGGTCTTCGTGGAAGGATGTAGATTTCATGGTTTATTAATACATGACTTGTTCCAGAATCAAAGCGGGTGCCAGGGTGGTGAAGAGCCTTCTCTGTCACTGGGCGATTTTGATCAGTAACTTGGGCTTTGTAAAGGGGTTCAGCTCAGTCACAGCCTTTCTTTGGGAGCAAACTAAATCAGATCAAATTCAAAAAAGGTAGTAAAGGATCCTTTCTACCCTCTTTCCTAAGGATAATTGGCCTGTTTCTGTAAGAGTCTAATTTACCCTCAGCAAGAGGCCAAATTGGCCTTAATTGTGTCCTAATTATTTGCTTAAATAGCTAATCTTTACTTCCAGTTCTCCTATCACCTCCTGATATCTGCAGGAGGCTACTTCTGAGCCGCTGCCTAATGTACAAACATCTTTTTAGCCCTTTAGACGCTCCTGTATAAAGTAGCTTGTTGCTCCTGTCACCCTGATTCCTGGTATCCAGCATTTTCTGTTACTTCTGCTGAGCTCTTCTCCATAAAGAAAATGCACTTGGCATTATAAATTCATACCGCCATTATTGATCTCTCTCAAACATAAGCCTTTGTTTGTAAACCTGAAAGCCTATCTGCCCCCAAACCAAAAGAGGAATATGAATTCCACCAATGAAAGAACCTCCCTTACAGGGTGAAAATCCTATGCAAGAAGCTGAGCCCTGGCATCTGACACCTGTAATCCTAGCTGCTTCAGAGGCTGAGATCTGAGTATCAAGGTTTGAAGCCAGCTGTGAGATTCTTATCTCTAAACAACCAGCAAAAAGTTGGAGCTAGATGTGTGTCTCAAATGGTACAATGCCAGCTGTGAGCAGAAAAAAAAAAGCCAAGAAGGAGGCCTTTAATTCAAGCCCCAGTACCAGCACAAAGAAAACAAAACCCCATGTACATTAGAGATAGAGGCTAGACTGCAAGTGAGTTTGGGAGTGGGGAATCTAGGAGTGCAGATTACGTCTGGACACCTATACCAAGGGACAGAGGACTTACTTCATGTCCAGTAACTTCCCCATACATCTAAGCCTTTCTGTCAACTTTGAGTATTCATATTCAAATTCTGGGAGTAGGAGGAAAAAGGATTTAGGCACAGAGATGCAGGCAAAAGAGAAAACCAGAGCAAGCTGTTAATCTCTCCCAAAGCAGTGAAGTGTTAGGCCACTCATTTCCTGACTTCTGGCCTGCTATCCAAGTGGACAGCTAACCAGAGATGGTGCTGTAGCCCAGGAAAACTCACAGAAGCCTGGAGCCAGTTGCCTACTTCAGGATATCCGCCAGCTTCTCCTCATAATACAGGAAGTTCTCCTGAATGTCCTCCCAGGGCTCAAAGGCCTTTGATTGCCCTTCTTCTTGCTCCACGAAATTCTGCCAGATGTACTCGAAGTCCTGGGGCTTCATGATTCGTAGCTTGCAGCCAGCTTCCTTGAGCTTCTTCAGAGCAGCCTGGATCTCTGGCTCCTCCCACATGAAGAGTCGACCCACCAGGATGAGCAGGCGCAGGTTTTTGGTTTTGCCCAGGGTTTTGATGATGCGATCGGCACAAGCTGCACAGGGGCTGGAGGACACATACCAGGTGACGTTGTAGCGCAAGGCGGGGTCGAAGGTCGGCAGGATAGTGTTGAAGAAGGCCTCCTCTGCGTGGGCAGCTGCATGCTCATCTTCTAGGTAGCCTCGAGATGCTTGCACTTGGCCTCCCTTGCCCTGGGCCTCCACCACATAGCACAGGAAGGTCTTGTTCCGCCCGGAACTGTATTCCACATTCCGGAACTGAAACTTAAAGAAGTTGACTGGTAGTCGCTCCCTGTAGAGCAGGAACACAAAGGGTCAGGGAAAAGAAGAGAGACAATGAATTCTTGTTCCTAGGACTAGCCTAGAGTAGGTAGATCTCCAAGACACATGTACTATTACTAAAAATACGCTTTGCCTAAACTCATGTCACTGATTTAAAAAAAAAAAAAAAGGCCAAGGAGAATCCAGAAGCATTTTTGTGGAGGAGAAGAGAGGATTGGGATCGGGGTTTGTGTTCTGTCCACTCTACTAGGAAGGAAACATGGCAAACACTATTTTCACCATCACCCTTAACAACACATTCCTTCTCTCTCCTTTCCCAGCCTCCTTCCTCCCTCTCTATTTGCTTCTTTTTTTCTTTCTTTCTTTGGCAGTACTGAGGTTTGAACTCAGGGAGTCACACTTGTTAGGTGGGCACTCTACCACTTGAATCATGTCTTAGCTCTTTTTCCTTCAGTTATTTTTCAGGAAAGGTCTCATTCCCCTTCCTTGTCCGTCCATCCATGTCATCCCTTCCCCCCCCCCCCTACTCCCCCCCCCCCCCCCCCCCCCCCCCCGCCCCGCCAAGGGGCTAGTTCGAGACTGATTATCCTACCTATGCTTTGTGTAGCTGGGATTACAAATACACCACCATATTGATTTGTTGAGATAGGGTCTCCCTAACTCTTTGTCAGGGTTGATGTTGAGCCACAGTCTTCCCCATCTCCATTTCCCAAGAGGATTACAGGTGTGAGCTACCATACTCTGCCCCTCTCCTTTCCTTTCTTTTGACAGGTTTTACTTGGTAGTCCAGGCCTCAAACTCAAGATCCTCTTGTCTTGGCTTCCTGAGTGTCTCGATTACAGGAGGATCATGCAGCTCCTGTTCCTGAGTCTTCAGCAAGTGAATCTTTAGCAAAGACTATTGCTTGGGAGTTATACAGGAGACAAAAATGTTGGGACTGAAACCCACCTCAAACTAACTCAGAATGTCTGGAGGTAGCGGGGGAGGGTCCCAGGCATCAATAAAAAAAAAAATCTATATATAAACAGTGTCAGAATGTGGCTTGGTTTGAAACAGTGTTCAAACAGCACATTAACCAAGTAGCAAGCATGTTAAATTTCTCATGACAAAGCAAGACAAAGATTTTCCAGAGTATTTCATGCTTTCATTTCTCCATTGAGCTGGTATAAGCTGTATTTGGGGCATGGGAAGGCTTATGTCTTTAGTACCACGCTCTCCTGTTTCTCCAGACTGTCTTTTCCTTCGGGTGACAAGGTTGTCGTATCGCCAGTGCCTAAGCCCATGGACTGTGAAAGACCCAGGAGAGGCCCTGGGATAGTGAAGTTCATGTGTAGCACTGAGTTGTTTCAGAATCTTGAGTGGTTTGGTTTTTGCTTTCCAGATGCTTCTAACCTAGCAGCTAGATTCTAGCTGGATGGAGGAAAATGTAAATAAAATAGCCAAGAACATCAGAAGACTGCTAAAAAGTGGACCAGCCGAGTAGAGGACACATGGACCTCCTTGATTCAGGTGGTAGTAAGGAACAGCTCCTCTCCTTTTAATTTTATATTTTGGTGGTTCTGTGGTTTGAACTGAAGGGCTCCAGAGCTTGCTAAGCTGGTGCTGTACCACTTGAGCCATACCTCCTGTTCTGCTTTTTGCTGATTATTTGGAGATGCAGTCTAGCAAACTTTTCTGCTTTCCTGCCTGGGCTGGCCTTGAACTGTGATTCTCAGATCTCAGTCACCTGAGTAGCTGGGATTACTGGTGTGAGCCACTGACTCCCAGTATATTTCCTTCTTTTTCCTCAGGAAGGTCATCAGACTCCCTGGGCAGCGGGGGAATCCCTGGGTCCAAGGCTTTGGCTACTTACGGATAAGCAGCAGATGCCAAAGAGCTGAGTAGACTTGAGTCATTTCTCTGCAGGATTCCCTCCTCCTCCATCCATCACCTAATTCACTCCACTCAAGTTTCCATGTCTCTTGCTGTCAAGTTAAGTCTCCACTATGGAGATGTGTGTTTGAGGACCTGGCCCTAGGATCCCTTTAGGTCCTATATTTAGCTCTCTAAGCCCCTCTGTCCCTGGCTAGAGGGGTTTATTATTTACTTAACATTTCAGTGGAGTGGATCACCTGACATTTCCCCTTTCCTCTTCCAATCCTTGAGGGAACTCCATGCGCACTGAGTTCTTCCTAGTTATACTCACCCCACCAGACCTCTCCTGAGCTCTGCTGCTTATGCCTGGGTTCCTAAAGTGTTTTTTTGCTCTTGAGAAATACACAGCTTGCTTACTTATTTATTTTATTTAGTCAGTCTCTCTTGGGGCTTGAATTCAGGGTCTGGGCACTGTCCCTGAGCTCTTTTGCTCAAGGGTAGTGCTGTAGCCCTTTGAGCCACTTCTGGTTTTTGAATGGTTAATTCAAAATCGTGGGCTGGCTTTGAACTGTGATCCTCAGATCTCAGCCTCCTGAGTTGCTGGGATTACAGGCATGAGCCACCGGCACCTGGCTATTTTTTTTTTAAACCTAAGCCCTTTTTTGTTCTTTAAAGCCTTTTGCCAGACTACCCCCTATACCCCAGTCCAATCCAGAGCCACCTATAGAATGGATTGCCCAATGGAGAATGGAGTGGAGGTATTCAGGGAGTCCAGCAGAAGCAGCAGCCTGCATGGTCCTTCATGTTTCATTCTGTAGCCAAATACCCCTCCCTCTCCCCCCGTCCTGCATTGCTTTAACTCCACTGAGTGCCGCTTAACCAAGAGCAAGAATTTGACCTGGCTTACAACCGCAACTGGGCTGGATGATTGTGAGAAGCAGCCTTTCTATAGCCCCTCCCTGGTAGGTTCTGACATTTGTCCCTCCTCCTTTTTCCCTTGGCACCAGAGAAGATCCAGAGAAACCCGAACCCCACGGGAGAGGAGAAAGGTCACCTCTCTATAAATATCTGTTTCTGACCCCGCTGGCCAACAGCCCTAAGAGTCTGTTCTGGCCCTCAGCAGGTGCCTCAGGAGAAGTGCTTTCAAGAGGCAAAGGAAAGACAGGAAAGTTTGGCTCTCAGAGTTTCCCTTGAGGTTGGCCCAGAGACTGAACTTGCTTGGCTTTACAATGGGCTTCTTGGAAGTTAAAATGAGGTTCTTTGGGCTTCACATAGACCACAACAGACAGGGCCTGGAGAGAAGCCAGAAGAATAGAAGTGGTAGAAGTCCGCAATGTCTGTAAGGAGCTGGACAGCATGGCCATCTTAGGTGATTTTAGGCCAAATAATAGGAGTCATCTAACTTTTTAAAATCATAAGCATTCTTTTCCCCTAGCAACATGGCATGCCTAAATATTATATTTACTTTAGCCTTTTATTCTCAACCCCAGCAGATATGTCACTGAAAAAGGTGTGTGTATGTGTGTGTGTGTGTGTGTGTGTGTGCTGTTACTGTGGTGCTGGTGGAGTGCTCTCCCTCCATGTCCAGTCCCTTCATCCACAAAACCAACAGCACAGTCCCTCTCCTCTCCCCACATCCTCACGTGTGAACACCTCTATTAGGCATCATTTTCACATATTTTCTTAAAACAAGGCCATTGCTCTGCTTAGACTACCAGTCTACTGGGCATCTCATGAAACAACTAAGGAAGCCCCAAATCCTAATATCTAGCAAAAATTACGAAGACGGATTGCTTGATGAGAGAGGAGATATATGGTACCTAGTCTTTCTCAGATTTGCATTTACAAATTGGTATTTGCCATGCAAAAACCCATAGTGAAAGGGAGCAACCTGGAGGTCAGTGGATATGAGATTAAACTTTTGCTCCAAAATAAGCCATAGAGAGGGAAATCTAGTCACAGGCCCCTGAATGTCCATTCATTTCAACTTCCCCTCACTAAACCTGTCAGTGATCTGATTGAAAGAGGTAGAGTTATTGGTTTAATTTGGCTGTTTTCTTTTGCAGATCACTCCCCAGGTAGATGCCAAGGAGTTATTATAATCAGGGAGAGGAGTGTGGATCAGAATGAGAGGGTTCTAGGGCTAAGGAGGGGGTTCCAAATTTGAAGGACCTGACGGGGTTTTATCCAAGGCAAGTGTGGCGTCACCCTCTTCCTCTTAGGAGAGAACTGCTCACTCAGCTTTGACTTCCCACCAGCCCTTCCCAGAAGCCAGGCTTGCCAGCTGGGCTGTCTTCCCTTCTGAATGGCATGCCTCCCTTCTCCTGTGTGTCCCTCTGCTTAGTAAAATGCAAGGGCTAAAGCAGTGACTCAAAGATTTCTTCTATCTGTCATTTATTTCTGGCCCATCATTCTGTCTTTGATAGCATGGTCTACAAAAGCATACAGGATACTTCTAGAGACAAAGACAAATATACAAGCAGGTATGCCGTGCAGGCCTACTCACTGAGATGGGATTTAGCCAACCTCAGAGCCCTAGACATCCACCAAACTTGCTGTCGACTGAGACACCCTTACCAAGAAAATTCTCCTTGTACCAGCATTGCCTGGAACCCCTTAGGCTTGCCTGAGTGTAGCTCCACAAGAGGCCCCACTTCAAGTTTATTCTATCATGAGATCTTGCAGAGAGCCTAACACACAACCTGTGGTAATTCATTAGTTCATTTTTTTATTTCACTAATATTTATTGAGTACCTATTAGGAGCTGAGTGTAGAGATAAGGTAGTGAAAAAGACACATTCCTTGTCCCCGTGGAGGGTAGAGATACTGATGGGGGAATCGGGCCAGAGGAGAACAATTTGTGTTCAGTAAATATTTGTGAATAGGAAAACCTTCTTTATGGTTTTTTATTTTGTGGTGTTTTGGAGTATGAAAGGCCTAGGATTCATGTCTGCATGCTATCTTTGGGCAAACCACTCATAACTACCTGTCCCTCTAAGGTTTAGATTCCTTATCTGAGAGAAGTACTCCAACCAATCAGATTTTAGACAACAAGTAGATATAGTAAATTAAAGCTAGTCTTGATGGATGGAGCCTTCTCTAACCCTCAAGCCATAATCTCCAGAGCTCCATAGCCTATCCCTCCTCTACCCTTCCAGGGTAGAAGTTTCTTTTTATTCTCTTCTTCGGTGGCATGCTTGCTAATTGTTTAACAACCAGCTCTCTGAAAGAAAATAAAAATCTCAGATTCCCAACACTTGCTGATTTCTCTAGTGTATTTCTACTATGGCAATTTCAAGCCAGCAAAATAAGGCGCTTGATACAGATAGGGAATGGATATACACAGCTGGCTTTCAAGCCAATAGGAGCTGTTTCCCCGCCCCCAACTCCACCCCCCTCCCTGCCCCCATGCTCTTTTCTACCATGGTACTTTGTTAATGTGCTTAGGTCTGCTTTCTTAGTGTCACAACAAGCAGAGTTGTGACTCCTCTTCCTACCAGGTACCTCCCCCCTCCTCATATTAGATGTTTCCCTGAAAATCTGCTCCTCTGCTAGCTTTAGCCCCAATATGCAGGGAGCTTGGCTAGGAATGGAGTCGCCTTGCTGATCCCTTATATTCCAGGGCATGTGGAGACAGAGGAGAGGAAAGCTGTCTCCTCTCCCTCGCCTGGCACAGACATAGCTGTACCTCAGGGCTATTTTAAGCTTCTGTTTACCCAGAGGGGCCCAGGAAACAGATTTCCCAGCTGTTCCCTGTGGCCAGGAAACACTCAAGGTTCTGCCTCCCACCTGAATTGGGCTCAGAACTCACTGGGAAATCTGCCCTCTGAGCCTTGGATCCTGGACAGCCCTCAGCCTTCACTATCTTGTAGGTGGAGCTAAGGGGAGAAGAACCTTGGGACTCAGGAAGGACCTGCCACTTCCTGGTGCTTTGGTCTTGGACCTGTCAGCTGAAGTCTTCATGAGTCTCAGTTTCCTTTTCTGTAAAATGTAAAGTATTGAGTCTTAGGAAATATTAATCCATTAGTCTCATGGAAAGTATTAATCTCCCTTTTCCAGCATTGCGCCAAGGTGGGGGACCGTGGGGGGAAAATGAGCTCATTCACTTAAAGTATATTGTGATTAGAAAGCCTGGGACAAATGTCAGTTATATCAGAGGATCTAACCCTTCAGGACTTGCTGCCCTGGGAACCCAAAGCATGTTCGCTGAACGAAATAGTCTAACTTTGTACTGGCCCCTGTTCTGGGGAAGATCACAGCGCTGCGTGGAGTTATGTCTACACGTGTGTGACCAAGGACAGCATGGTCCAGAGTGCTCAGGTCTTAGAGAAAGGATCACTTTCCACAGGCAGCCACTGGAACTGCTCCTGGCCTGGTTGCCCTAGGCTTTCCCTGTGTCTATATTCGTCTGTGCCCAGCTGCACCCTTAATCTCAGGATGAGGGTGGGATGAGGGGAGAGTGCATGGGCAAATGGAAGTTTGGAGGCTACTCAAGCCTCAGGAATGAGGCTGCGTTCTCCTGTAGACTCTTAATAAATATCTGAGCAGGAAGGGATCTTGGGTATCAACCAATGTAGCTTCCTCATTTCAAATTTTAAAATGGTAAAATGGAGGCCAGATTCACTTGTCCAGCCCCACACAGTAAGTCCAAATGACTGCCCAGGGCTGCTTCTCTCCTCAACAGCATCATATCTCCATTCTTCCTGAATTTTCTCTTAGTGTGAAGCTCTCTTCCTGTGCACATTGCTGGAGATCCCCAGGAAAGCCCAAGTCTCTTATATTCCCTTCTGGTCATCTGTTTAGGAATATTGCAGGGAAAAGGAAGATGACTGGTTGGTTTTATTCCTGGAGAGGGCATGATCTAATGCCTTTTCCATAGCCATAACTCTCTTTCTCAGGCTTCAGTTCTATAGGCTGTGGCTGAGCTCATGGGAATGTTTCTTTGTCCATAGCCTCTGTGCTGTGATCAGGGTGGGGGTGGGTGGGTGGGGTAGACAGACCAAGGGGAAGTAGGGAGGCTCAGCAGAGATTCAGTAAGGTTGAAACTGCTCACTTGGCCTTCAGGAAAGACAGATCTGTCTTCTGTGTTTGAGGATTTTCTATCCGAGAGAGAAGCACTAAAGAAAATAGTAGAGACAGATACACAGAGGAGAAACCCGCTCAGAAGTAGAGCAGAGAGAGTAGCTGACTTTGACTGGGGCCTTCTTTAATTGTGCCAGCCTTACCAACCCCTCAGGGACTGAACTACCCAGAGGTGATAAGTGAGTCCCTAGGTTTAAAGGCCTGCGAATCAGTATCCTTCTCTGGGCTTTGCCTCTAGGGAGCTCCTCCTACTGCTTTCCCGTTAGAGAGCCTAAGAATCTAGCAGAAATGTGCTATTTCCCGGAGACACAGGTGTATTCTTATGGCCACAGGGTGGGTGGAGGGGCCAGGGGTGGAATGAGGGTGACCTCTACTTCTATTGTAAACTACCCAGGCCTGCTCCAAGCCCTTGCTTTCCTGGGGAGGGGCCCACCCACACGAGCGTCTCACCCGCTGATGATCTCAAAGGGCGGCAGATCAATGAGTTCCTTCAGCTTCTCGGGGTGTTCGGCCAGGTCCTCCAGGTCCTCCCCATTTTGGGAGGTTGGCTCTGGGGCAGCGGCAGCGGCGGCAGCGGCAGCAGCGGCCTCTTCTTTCTGGGCCATGGAGAGGCTGTGGCTCAGAAGTCACAGAGAGAAGAGAGGCTGTGGGCCTGGCCAGGGCTGGGCGGCCGAGTCCCAAGCAGCTGTCAGCAGCTGAGTCTGGCTGGGGATGACAGAAAGAGGAGCCGCAGGGCAGGCTTTGTGCTTGTACCCCCGCAGCCCCAGGCTTTATAGCCAGGGCCTCCTGCCCCTCCTCCCCTAAGCCCTCTCCCTCTATCTTTATTTTAATTGAGTGACAGCAGATGCCAGAGTGGGGGAATGGAAACTCTGGCCATGAATCCCCTATTTATCAGTGGGCAGACAGGAAACTGGCAGGTTGGAAGCCTGGGCCTGGTCCTCCCTGCCTCTCCCTCTTCTCTTACACTGCATTCTTCCCTGGGTTCTGATCCAACTTTTCCAGCTCCATGGGAACCCCGTGGAAGGGGCTATGGAGTCATCCCGAGATTCGGGGGAGAAGCCATCTCAGAGTTGTAAGCAGGAGGAGGCCTCTATTGAAAGAAGGGTGGTGGTTGCAAAGAAACCTGGGTCATTTCCACTGGAAGGAAAACTGGAGTTGGGAAAGGAAGACCCTGGGAGGGATCAAGTGAAAACCAAGGATTTAGGGAGGAGAGTATGTGTTATGACTGACTAGCCTATGACATACCCATGATGCAATGCCAATTGACAACCCACGGTGACAGAAGCTGTCATTCACTGAGCTTCAAGATTTTTAAGTAGGGTAGGCAAGAAGTTCAGTGCAATACCTGTGAAAGCGGACTTCATGCACTCTACAACCCTGGAAGGCAATGGACACTCCCCCTCATGTTACATGCGGGAGACTGAGGCTCACAGAAGGAGTAAGGGCCTCGCCTAGGGTTCATACAGTTCATAAAGAGCATAGGATATTTTATTCCAAAGGGCAAACATTTCAGCCTCCAAGCTTTGTTCTCTCTCAGTGAATTCTGTTCGCATGTCAGATAATTTGTTGAGCATCTACTCTTGGCCAGGTGCTGTTTAAGAATTGAGACGGCAGCAAAGAACAAAGCAAATGGAAGTCCCGGCCCTCATCATGGAGCTTGGAGGAGTTGGATGATGAATAAGCTAAATAAAATAGATGGTCTGTTTGCTGTGGCTAAGTGCTAAAAAAAATAAAAGCAAGGTAGGGAAACAAAGAGTGACAAGAGGGGGAGATAACATTTTTTTTATAGGAAAGTTCTTTGAAAAGGAGACAGTGGAGAAAAGATGGAAGAAGGCAGGGGAATGAGTCATGTAGCCAAGGGGAAGTGTTCTCAGGCCCAAAGCCCTGAGCTAGGAGCATTGCTGGTGGAATTAGCAAGGCTACCTAGTAGAGGAGGCCAGAGAGAGAACTCAAACTAAAGAGGCTGGCGTCCTATGGACTCTTCTTAACCAAGGTTTTCTCTGTATGAAGGGAAGTCATTTGGCTCTGGACAGATGAGACAGAGTTCCACTTCTGTTTCTTCAGGACTACCTAGCTTCTGGCTTGAACTTGAACAAAAAGCAGGGAATAGGAAACACAGAGGGACCACAGTTTGAAGCCAGCTGAAACTAGATGATGGAGCGGCTTGGAGTGGGGTGTCACTGAGCTAGCAGATATAGGTTAGATAGCTTCTATAGCATTCATGGTATGCTTAGCAGGGGCCACACCTCTTCGTGTTTGGGGCAGTGTAAACACTCTGGGACATTCTCAGGGACACAGAAAGGAGGGTCAGGGTTACCTTCGGGTTGAAAATGAGGAACCTAGGATCATTGAAGAGCAGGTCTGAAAACGACTCTGACTAGGGGTTAGATGCTGTGACTAGGGAACAGGAGTTGGGTTGTTTGAGTCATTTGGAACTCTCTCTACCAACGAGTTGTGGGCAGCACAGCACATGCTTACTGTGGCTGGTGCCCAGCATTTTGCCCAGGATGCTCTTGGCATCTCCCTATAGTTCAGGTACAATCACTAACAGTTCCCCTTTCACACCTGAATGTATTCCAGTTGGATAATAAATCACACCCTACCTGTTAGACTTATTACCAAACCCATTCTTGCTCAGAGATTATTTTCTCAAACATCTTCCCTGGGGAATGAAGCAAGGGTTAGAGTAATAGTGCTTCTGTCCACAATGAAAAGGCAGGAACAGCTGATGAACAGCACGGAATGTTTATTATGACACATACATAGAGAATTTAAATGCAAAGGGTTTACTCCATTCTTTTATGGAATCAACATTTACTATGGGCTCCTTGGTGCCAGGTGCTGTAGTAAATACTAAGAATGCAGAGATGAATAAGTGGAGCTTCAAGGCTTTATCACAATTAGGGCATCCATCAGGCACTCAGGCATGCCTTGTCTCATTGAACCCTCACACCAGGCTCTCTTGGTGTGAATTATTGGCCTCATTTTGCAAGTCAGGGACCTGAGGCTTAGAAAGCAGAAATGATTGGTATTAAGATCAACAAGGATTTGAGTCCTGATCTTCTGAGATCATGTCCAGTCTGATTTCTAGGCCTGCACCCAGACAGATCTGGTTCCACATCTCTAATGCATTCTAAGTAGGAGCCCCTCTTCTACTTCCCAATTTGGACCAACCAAGGGAGAGCAAAATGTTTCCAGGAGGATACATCCAATCAGTTCACTGGTCCTCCAGGGGAGAGGCTCCCTTAGGAAAAGAACTTCCATTTGGACTCTCACATAATCCTGATCAGGAGAGGAAGATGTTTCAGTGCCACCTCAGGCCCTGATTCACTGTGTGATCTTGGTCCAATCATTCCCCGTCTCTGGGTGAATTGACCAAAAGCTTCCCCTCGTTTGTCTCCTAGGATGCAGGCCTACTTGTAAATGGCTCTCTATCAAGGATGGTCAAAGGGAGGAAAGGGAAGAAGCGGGGTAGATGGGGACGGGTGAAGGGGAACCATATGGTCTGTATTCCCTGATCTCCAGCCACTCTGAGTGACTGGGACACCGTGGTGCAGAGGTGCCCCAGAGGGGGCCCCTCATTCGCACCACATCCTTAGGAAATTTTCCCTTTGACCTTTGGGAGCGTGTTCAGAGCCTGCCCCCAGACTGATGATGGACAGCTTCCTTTTCCACTCCTCCTTTTCCACTGCTCTCACCCCAACTGCCATCCATGGAGGCCCGCTGACCTGCTCTGGCTATTTATGGCACCTCCCAGAGTCCTGAATTCCTGGCTGCCCCCTGGTGTTCCATTCCAAGTCAGAATAGTTCCCCACACAGGGCCCCAGAGTGCAGCAGCTAATCTAGAGGATCAGGTGCCAGGAGCTACCCTGCAGCTCTCTTTTTAGGGCTGGCACACTAGCTTCTCCTTCCTATATTAACCCTTTTGGGGAAGGTTCTGTCAGTCCTCCCCACTGCACAGGAACTGGACATTTTGTTTAAAGCCACACAAAGAGTCAGTGGGGCACCAGGACTTGAGCTCAGCTCCTTCTTAGCCTCTACGTTCCAGGCTTTTCCCTGTCTAGAGTTCAGTAACATGGAGAACTGACATTAACATGTCCTGGTTGCCAGCCTGATGTTACCCTAAGTGCCTCCAGATAAATTCATTTACTCTTCACTAAGATATCCTATTATGCTGCTCATTTTACTGGTGAAGAAATAGACCCAGAAATTGAATGACTGGCCTAAGGTAGTTCTGCTAGAGAAGACACAGCTCTTGATTTCCAGAGTTATGCTTTTATAATATTTTTTCCAGTCCTGGAACTTGAAATCAGGGCCTGGGCACTGTCCCTGAGCTTTTGTGCTCAAGGCTAGCACTCTACCACATGGGCCACAGTGCCACTTTTGGTATTCTGGTGGTTAATCTGGAGGTAAGAGTCTCACGGATTTTTCTACTCAGGCTGGCTTCAAACTGTGATTCTCAGATCTCAGTGTCCTGAGTAGCTAAGATTACAGGTGTGAGCCACCAGTGCATAGCTAGAGTCATGCTTTTAGCCTCCACAGGTCACTCCCTCTGCTACCAGGCCCTTCGAACTGAGAGAAGGGGATGAGATGGGAAGCTGGAGAGCGTGGGAGTTCTTGCAGGGAGAGTGGGCTCTGAGAAGTACTGATCCGAAGAGGGGTATGTGTTTCTCTGTTGGGAATACTTATACAAAGGCCATGTAGCTGGGCACCAGTGGCTCACGCCTGTAATCCTAGCTACTCAGGAGGCTGAGATCTGAGGATCATGGTTCAAAGCCAAGCTGGGCAGGAACATCCGTGATACACTTATTTCCAATTAACTACCAGAAAACCGGAAGTGGCACTGTGGCTTAAGTGGTAGAGTGTTCCCCATGAGCTGAAGAGCTTAGGGACAGTGCCCAGGCCCAGAGTTCAAGCCCCACGACAGGAAAAAAAAAAAAAGACCCTATAACTGGGGCTGGCCAGAAGGTTTGTTTCTTTAACCCCTGCCTCCTGTAGAAGTCTTGAGACAAACTGTATCTTGTCCCATTTCCCAGGACCATCTGGGAAAGCATTCAGAGGTTCTCCTGGTGGCTGAGGAGGAAGGGACAGGGTCTCGCATGACTGCTCTTATTGCGTCTTGGCAGCACGCAGGGCTGTCCTCTCTGTGAAGGGATCAGAAAGGCCAGGAGAAAACAGAAGCCTCACCAGGGGAAAGTTTAAATTCTCACTCTGTGAAAGAAGATACCTTTGGAGCGTGTTGATGGAGTGGGTGCTTTATGTGCAGGACAGCTGGGACCCCAACAACACGTTGCCCAGAGACCCAGCCCAGGCGTGCTACTCCTCCGGTCACTACTGAGACAAGGTACACAAACAACAGTCATGGGCACCAGGCACCCTCTGGCGGGCAGGAGTCTGCCCTCTCTGGCAACTACTCTGTTGACATAAACAGAAGGTGTCCAGGGCTTTGAGCGGCCTCCTCTGGGGATGGGAGAGAGGGCCCCAGGGTCTTTCAGAGTCTGATGCTGGGAGAAGGCATCCAAATCACAGGGCTTTCAGCCTCCTTCTGCACCGGGCACAATGCTTGCCTTACCTTTGGGACACGCTGCCCTGGGTAAATGGTGACACCCAGGACTTCAGTCCTGGTCACCATAGTCTTCTGTTTGAGCAGCCATTCACAGCACCACCCAGCTTCCTTGGCATTGCCTGGCTGGAGTCTTTGGGGAAGGTGATCTGATAAGAATCGTGCCCATTAGGGTGACTAATAGTATTTCTCCTTGCAGGTGTGTTTGTAAGGCCAATCGGTGTACTGGGACAAAAACTATAAACTCAACAATCAAGTTTTGAGAGATGAGAAAAGTTTTTGCGTGTGTGCAGGTGGGAGAGAGTGGAGGCTTTTCTGGTGCTCATCTGACACAGAATATTTCTCAGTGGGTTAGGGGAGCTCAGGGACATAGACACTAGACAGTGATTGAGGCCACCAGGAAATGACCAAGATGACTTCTGGCTTGCATGAGAGAGGAGGGGATACGAATGTGTGAAGGTGAGGGTTGTTTTTTTTTTAAGTTGTCTTTTTCCAATTCTATCTCCCCATAGAAAATATGCTCAGAGCAGAAACCGCCCCTCAGAAGCTCTGGGTATAACAAGAACCCAAGAAGCTGGAATTGTGACACGGGTGACTTATCTCCCAGTTCAACTCAGTGAGACCCACAGTTGAGTCTACACATATTTCCTGGCTCTTGGTCTATCCTCTGTTATGGTCTGAATATGAAATGCCCCCAACAGGCTCATTGTTCAACCTTTTGTCCCAGAGGGCAGTGCCAATTTGGGAGGTCCGGGAAACTTTAGGGGGGTAGCTCTTAGCTGGAGGAAGGGGGATAATGAGATCAAGGCTTGTGAAGGTTCTACCTAATCTCTGGTCCCTTCCTGTGTCTCTGCTTCCTGTTCACCATGAGGTAAAGAAGCTCTTCCACCACATGCCGTCATGGTGTTCTGCCCAAGCGTATGAGACCAAACAACCATGTGCTGAACCATGTGAAACAGTGAGCAAAATAAATCTTTCTTCTCTTAAGTTGTTCTCTCAAGTATTGCTGTCACAGTGAGGAGAAAGCTAATATATGCTCTATAAATTATAGCATCGCTCTGGGGAAGGCAGACACAGAATGGCTGTCCCCAGTTTTAGCCTAAACTGTAAATAAATCCATTTTTTCCTTTTTTATATATGTTGTCATTTTCTCTCAGGGCAGATGAGCAGCCAGAACTCAGAGCCAGTTTTTTGTTTTTTGTTTTTGGCAGGAACTCTAGTGACAAAGGGTCCTCAAAGCTAGAGAGGTAAAGGGTTTATGGAGCAAGGTCTGTTTGGGTTGTCTTTACCTGAGGATAAAAGAGGAAAGTTGAGATGTGAGTGAGTCTTCAACAAAGCCAGGTTTGGGGGTGAGGAACTTGTGAGCTACTAATGACGATCAGTGGTAACATTCTTAAAAAGAAGGGTCTTTTGCTGGCTTTCTGGAACTACAGAAAAGGGGAATTCTGGGAAGGCTCTGAAACTTGGCTTAAGGCAGAGGAAGTTCCCAGTGATAAAGTGGATAGGAAGAAAAAAGACCTCAGAGCCTGACATCATTGAAGTGGCTTCTGGGCATCTTTGATAACATGGGCTGTATCAGCGGGGAGGTTGGAAGAGTCAGAAGTGCACAGAAAAAAAAACAAAACATTTCTCTACCTCCTTCCAGGCCAGCTGACCATCCTCTGATCACTGGACATATCAGTTGCTATCAGATCTCACCCCTCCATGGTTCCAGTCCATCCTGGGCTGGCTCCATTGCTGTGAGCCCATGGGGAGGAAAAGAATCATGGCAGCCAGAACATGTGATATAGGAAGTGTCTCTCACCTCATGCAGCCAGGAAGCAGGGAAGGGGGGGGGCGGACAAGATGTACCCTTCAGAGCATGTTATTAGTGATGGACTTCCTCCACATACGCCAGCCTCCTAACAGCCCATTCGCTTTGACTCCATCATTTTGTTAACCTGCTGATGAGGTTAGTTTCCTCAATATCCAGTCACCTCTGAATACTGCTGTATTGAGGCGCAGGCCTTCAAAATGTGAGTTTTTGCTAGATGCCTGCAGCTCATGCTTGTGATCCTAAGCTACTTAGGAGGCTGAGATCTGAGGACCCCGATTTGAAGCCATGTAAAAAACCAAACCAAACCCGTGAGTGTTTAAGGGACTTGATGTCCAAACCATAAGAGTCTAGCTCCCGGGCCAGAATGGCAAACGGTTGTACTGTCTTTATTTCCCAAGATGGCCTGACTCCCTGCCCCTGGAGTGGGGCTGGAGCCCATTCAGTGAGAGCCTCAGAAGGTCCCTGTGCTCCCTGCCCCCTTTTGAGAAGCGGAGTCCTACCACAGCAGTTTGTCCACTGGCTTCAGATGAGGATCAGGAGAAGTTTCTAAAACTATCAGAGACCTTCCCTCCTTTTCCACTTGATCCTGTAGGGATGGTGTCATTTTATTTTATGTTTTGAAGTGTGACAACATGTTCATGTATACTTTCATTCCATCAGTCACAAGTATGTAAGTACCTACTCTGTGCCCTGCCCTGCCCTGTGGCTCCAGGTACAAAAGTAGGTGGGACCCCGTGTTTGTTCTCCTGGGGTGCTCGTGACCTGCCCTCTGGGTGGAGCTGCCCTTAGCAGAGGATGAGAGGCTACCGTGCCCTCTTGGCGGGGTGAGCTGAGGACTGGACCTGGCTGTTCCCTTATCAAGCGAGGCTGTCCGGCTGGCCTCTCCTTTGTGACACCTTGAGTCCCCATCTGTACAGGCTCCGTTTGTCTTGGCTCCCAGAACCACAGTGTGTCACAGCGAAACAGGCTCCAAAGTGATACATGCCAAGAGCCCCGGAACTTCAGTGAGCTGCTGATGGGCGTGCGAGGGAGCTCATTGAATCTGAAGATGCCAGGAGCCCATCCCTAAAGTTCTGATGTAGCAGGTCTCAAGTGAGACCCCCCATAAAAGACCAAAATGGGCTCTGGTACTCAGCTATAATCTTCAGCCCTGGCCATACCTGAAGACGTCCTGGGGTAGTCTATCAATCAGCTGCTCAGGTCTGACCCCTTGAGAGTCTGATCAGTAGATTGAAAGCTCCTCCATGACCTCACCTCATTTCTGGTAGAGGACGACCCCTCCCATAAACGGCCAGGCATCTGGGCCTTCCCGAAGTTCTTGTTTTGGAGTTGGGGGGGTGGTGAGTAGCCCCTAAGGCAACCACTCATGGTCATGTTCATTGCTTTGAAGCATGAAGCAGAAGGTGAGCGGAAGAGAATAAGAGGAGGTAACAATTTAAAAAAAAACCACAGAGGTTTAGAAAAGAGAGACATGAGAAAAGGCTGGATGGAAAGTTCCTGCTGAATTTCACCACTCAGAACCCTTTCCCAGCCCTTTATAAATATGAATTTGTAATTGTTTGATATACATTATTGAAAGCATAAGAATACAGGTAAAAAATTCTAATTTCATGGATCAGAGATAATCACGCAAGGTCTTAGCATGAGACATAGAATAGACTGATCAATCACGTGATAGGTATGATGTAAAATACATAACAATACATTACATACATAACAATACAATACATAACAATACACTATATGTTGTATCAGGCCTAACCTTAACTTGTGACATTAGTTATTTCTTTAATGTTAGTTTTCTGTTTTTGTTTGTTTGTTTGTTTGTTTGCTTTTTGTTTTGGTCGGTCGTGGGGCCTGAACTCTAGGCCTTGGTGCTGTCCTTCAGCTCTTCAGCTCAAGGCTAATGCCCTACCTACCACTTGAGCCACAGAGCCAGCTTTTTCTGCTTATGTGGCGCTGAGCAATCGAACCCAGGGCCTCTTGCATGTGAGGCCAGCACTCTACCACTGACCGAACCACCTTCCCAACCCTAGTTTTCCGTTTTTATGCAACCCTGAAGTGGCCTTTGTTTCTCTGATAATCTAAGTGCTGAGCGGTTGTCTGGGTATGGGAGAACGTTTGAATGGAGTGAGACAGTGGCCACTTCTGCTGCCTGTGTTCCCACGCCGGCTCACCTGTGCCCACTCTGCCCCCTGGATGCCACATACCCGAATGAACGCGCCGCATCAGACCCCCAAAACCATCAAGAGGATTTTATTCTTTAAGTGTCAAGCAAAGTGTCTGCCCCTTTCCCATGTCTGTGGGTTCTAAAGAGAAAGGGTATTTCGGGGGTACTCAGGAAGGCATCCTGCCCTCATCCCCCCACCTCCCCAGCTGTCCTCCCTCCTCTCCCTCCCCTGGGCCTCAGTTACCCTTCTCTGTGGGCTGAGGCTGGTGTGAGGGACACAGGCTGTCCCTCCAGAGGTGGTAGGTGATGGCGGTGGTCACAGTCAGCCAGGCCAGGTAGGGCAGCAGGAGCAGAGCAGCCAGCTTGTTGATGGGGTGCCAGATGCACACCATGCTCACCACCAGCCCAAACAACAGCAGCAGGTACATCAGTGCCTGGGCAGGGATCATGGAGGGGGAGGGGTCAGCACGTGGCTCCAAGAGCCAGACTACCTTCTCCCTGTGGTACCCTGATCCAATAAGCAAAGTCCCTCAGATGCTGCATACCACAGGAATCTGCCAACCTGTGAACTTCCCGCACCTGATCTGAACTGTCTGCCTGGTGATTTCCTTTTCCGTTCCCTCCATTGCTGAGCACCCTGTGCCTTACCTGACCAGAGTTGTCAGCTGACAAGAAGAGCATCAGGACAATCCAGCTGACGATGAGCTGTAGAGCATAGAGGCCAAGGGGCAGCGCCAGGGCCCACTGGAAGCCCCCTCCCAGGTCCTTCCACACCAGGTAGGAGGCATACCTGCAGAGAGATGATGGCACAGCGCTAGCAGGAGGGGTTTCCATGGCGCCTGGAGGAGCCTGTGGGTATAAGGTCCCTTGGTTGCCAGGAGGGACCCTCGTGGCCTGAAACGTATCAAGATTTGAGGGCTGGGGAGCGGGAGGCAGGCGGTGGGGGGGGAAGCTTGTGGGAAGAGTTGAGCATGGTGGTGATGCTGGAGACTCAGAGACAGTAGAAGAAGAGGTGGGCGGGGGAATGCAGTCCTGGGTAGGCAGAGGGTTTTTGTCTGTGGGATCCACTCCAAGAAGTAGGATGGGGGTGTCATCCCTTTGGAGGCCAAGGGGACTTGCTCCCACCCCAGCGGTTACCCGGGCCTTGTGCTCACCCCATGACTGAGTAGATGGCTGTCCACACGAGCACGATGACCTTGTGAGGCGGGCACCAGGGCAGCTTCTTGGGGACCTCACACCATCCAGACATCTGGTTTTGAGTGACTGTCCAGATCAAGATGGGCCCCAGGTGGGGCAGGCCCACAAAGATGGGCCCTTGAGGCCGCATTCACCTCAAGGAGGCAAAATCTGGGGAGGCAGAGAGCATACTAATGATGAGCTTTCCCTATGTCTTTCCCTGGGTCTCTCTGTCTCTCTCTTCCTCCTAACCTGCTGCTCTTCCCTGGCTAGCGCCCCTCACTGGGGTCTGGTCATGGAGCTCCTGCCCTGCCCCTTGGGCCAAACTCAACCCTTACCTCTGGCCTAGCTACCCGTATCATGTCCATTTTTCTGGCTTCCAAGGACTTATTTTCTGACCCCTCATTTGGATACTATCACCTACTGGTAGCTGCTTCTGAGTGAAAGGCTTTCCTCCCTCTACGGGGATCTAAGTCCAAGGGATCAGGTCCACACCTGATCATCTTTAACCTCCCACAGTGGACAGCACTTGGCCAGGTCCACAGCAGGCACTGAGGACCATTGTCTTTCCTAAGCTGACAGCTACCATCCTAGAAAGACTATGTTCTGAAGGTAGGAGCCAGAGAGATTCTTGGATCCATTCCCAGTCCCCAACGGGCCTGCTCATCTGCCCTGGCTTATCTCACTAGACCAGACTGATACACTCTAGGGCCCCACCCAGCCTGATCTCTTGCCCAAATTCAGAGGCAGCCCCAATGGATACTTCTCTGAAGCCTTAGCTCTGGTCTGATCCTGAAATGAGGTTCCACATGCAGCTCTCCATTTGTAGAGTGGAAGGCTGCAGACACAAATGTCTAGGTCTCTAGACATTTGTAATTCTCAAGGAAATAACTGGTCTTTGGTCATGCCGTGGTCATTTGCGTATTCCATTTGCTGCATGTGGGGCAAGGTAGACCCTTCTCAGCCCAGGCCCCCAGCCAATACCATTCTTGCTTAGCTCATGATATTTTGGGCCTACTTTCCACATGATAGATGGGATATGAAGGAAAATAGCTGATCATTTTCAGTGTGCTGGAGTGATGTTCTAATCCATTTTTTTTTCCTGTCAGGGGTGAAGGTTACTTGTCCTGGGGGCTCCTTGGACAGGACTGAGTCTAGACATCTTTCTGTTTGTGTATCTCTGCTCCTCACTGTCCATTTACTCAGTTTACCTTCCTACCTCTCTCGCTCAGGCTTTCCTGTGTATCTAGTGTTGCTGACCCTCATGGTGGCCTTCACCCTCTTTTCTCCTGTCACCCAGTACTCCCATGCCTCCTTGTTCCCAGGCCTTACCGCTCTTTCCTCAGGCAGCACAATGTCTAGGCTGGGTGTCTGATGACACTTGATGTGTGCAAGACAGAGGGGGGGAAAGGAGGGAGGGATAGGGCGAAGGGTGGAGCAAGCTGCCCAGCTCTCTGCCTTCCTCAGATGGCAGGGGTGGTGACACTGATGGGAGTCCAGGTTGCTGCTTGAGTGCTTGCAAAGAGTTCCTCTCAGCCAGGGTGTTCTTCTTGCCCTTCCCTTATCTCCTAGATCCTTCTCTCTCTCTCTCTCTCTCTCTCTCTCTCTCTCTCTCTTTCTCTCTGTGTTGCTGGACCTTGTGCCTGCTAAATTCTCTACTACTAAGCTACATCCTCAACCCTGCTAAGCCCCTGGCCACTGTGAGACCTGGGCCTGCTTGACGGCTCAGCTCTGGCTCCAGCCCTACTGATGGCTGTGGCCTCTGCATACAGCGAACCTACCCTGTGTCCATGGAGGTAAGAGGGGCCCTCGGATTTCTCCAGACCCTTTCCGTAATCAGTAAAGTCTCCAAATAAGGCAAGCGCCAGCTTTGGAAATGAGCTCACGATCCATGAACACAGTCCCTGGTTACAGCCTCCTAGCTGACATGGCCTAGGCCTGGCTTGACTTCCAGCTTGGAAGATCTTTCCTAAATCTCCAGGATTTTCTACCTCCAAGACAAAGGCAGAAGACAGTACTGTGGGGAGGGGACTGGGGGTGGGGAATCTGGGCAGGAGGAGACTGGTGCTTCCTGGAAGAGTCCTGCCTCCTGTTTTCTCTGGAGAGCAGTAGCAGAGCATGTCCCCTGCTCCTGGCAAAGTCCAGTCTCCCGAGTGACTCAGATACCGCTTTGTCCAACAAAGACAGACACCTCCCCTCTCTGTTTCCTGTCAAAGTTCTGACTTCCACTGTCTTGTTTATCCTTCAGGCACTAAGTCTCTTTCCCAGGCTGATTCCTCTCCATCTGTTCTCTTGTGGCATTGAAGGTGGGGAACCAGGCTCCCAGGGGGTGTCCCACTATACCTAGGGAGCAGGGAGGAGGGGCAGGCATGGCAGCCAGGGACAAGAGGCTAAAGAGTCACTAACTGAGGCCAGAGCAGAGGAGCTGCTTCTTTACTTCTTTTTTTAAGTTGCAGTGTGTGTGTGTACTCGTGCGTGTGCCCATGAACACACACACACACACACACACACACACACACACACACACACACGCCATCCTGAGGCTTGAATTCAAGGCCTAGGAACTGTCCCTGACCTTTTCTTTTTTTTTTTCCCCCTCAGGGCTAGTGCTCTACCACTTGAGCTCCACTTCCAGCTTTTATTTATTTATTTATGGTAGTTTATGGGGAATAAAAGTCTCACAGACTTTCCTGCCTGAGCTGGCTTTGAATTGTGATCCTTAGATCTCAGGCATGAGCTACCAGTACCTGGCCTCATGTTGTATTTTTACTTTGGCACATAATACTTTCTGAGATACACACACACACACACACACACACACACACACACACACACACACACACATATGGGCCTGGGTGCTGTCCCTCAGCTCTTCAGTTCAAGGCTAGCACTCTACTCTACCACTTGAGCCACAGCGCCACTTCCGGCTTTTTCTGCTTATGTGGTGCTGAAGAATCGAACTCAGGGCCTCACGCATGCAAGGTAAGCACTCCATCACTGAGCCAGCCCCACACATGTACATTTTAAGTGACATCTAGTCACCTCAAACATTTCTCATTTCTTAGTGGAAAAAGAACATTCGCCCCCCCCCCACCCTCATATATATCTGTAGTCACTTTACTGTGTCACAGAATGCAGAACTTATTATTCCTATCAAACTGTAACTTTGTACCCATCGACCAGTGTCACTCCGTCCCCTCCCCCAAGCCCCTTCCTGTCTCTGCTATCTGTGCACCTCCATGTTTATTGCAGCACCTCTCACAGGAATAAAGATACAGAATCATCTAAGTGTGTCCAACATGGATAAAGAAAATGTGACATGTGACATGTGAGGTGTGTGTGTGTGTACAACAGAATTCAGCCTGAAACGTCAGAAAGGAAATCCTATGATGTGACACATGGATTAAACTAGACACAGACATAAATACTGCATACTGCATGATCTTACTTAGGGGAAGAATCTGAAACTTGATCATGGGGTGGGGCAGAGTATGGGACACAAGAGCACAGTGGAGGGAAAGTCACGTGTTGGCTATGGAGCTGATAACTCGGGTTGTGATTCTACTGGAGTTCACCACAGTCCTCCAGTGCTTACCAGGTCATGGTGATAACAACGATCGTTTATCACCCATTCCATGGTAGGCACGCTTCATCTATTACTTCAGTAATGATAATCACTACTCCACACAAGATAAATTTTCTTAAAAAAAACCTACATTTGACAGACAAGGCAATGAAGTTATGTGTGCCCAAGATGACTGGCCAGGAACCTGGCCCAGCGTGTGGGTCGCTGGACTCCGTGTAGCCAAGCAGTCTGCATCCAAACTGCATCCATTTTGCTACCCGCTCTCATTCAAAAGTCCTTGTGGAGTACCTCTTCTCTGTCAGGACACCCCCAGAGCTGAGGAGCAGAGGCAGATAGCTGTGCGGGAGGGGAGGCATGCCCTGTCCACAGAGAGCTTTTATTCCAGCGGTGTTAGTGAGTTCTGTAAGGCCTCAGGCTGCTGAAATCAGAGCCCAGATCCAAAATCAGCTCAGCCCTGAATACCGGAAGTGGAAAGACCACTGTGTGGGAAGCAGGTCTGGATATTTCCTGGTGTCAGCCACACTGGGAGCTGGGGCAGTGTGCTATCTGAGGAGACAGTGTCTCTGGGTCCTGGTCCAGCTGCATGGGACCAGCTTCTTAGAGCTTCCGAGGCTTGAGCCTGCAGAGTCAGTACCTGCATCTTAACAAGATCCTAGGTGATGTGCGTGCAGATTATGCTTCGAGGAACTCTGGTAGGGAGGGCTTGAAAGGTGCACCACCTGGGCCTAGCGCCTTCTACCCCCTCGCCTCCTTTCCAGACCTGTGCAGGACAGTGGGCTGACTGCCCAGGCCTAGACTTCTCCCCACCCCTCTTTAGAGCCGCCCAGGGGCAGGACTCTGCCAGGAAGCACCTGGCCACACCTACCTGGATCCCCCGCCCACCTCCACTGCCTGATGACTGGGCCTGGCTGACCTCCCTCTCTCTCTCTCTCTCAGAGAAGGAACTATTGTTCCTGGACAAGCCTGCAGCCTCTGAGAGCACTTAGACAGCAAGGTGAGCACTCTCGTGGGGGTAGCTGCAGGGAGCTGGGCCTTGTATGGGGGTCATCTGGAGCTCAGGACGGAAGAGCCCGCCCAGCTGAGCCTGAGTAGCTAGGTGTGGGGACCCTCTGCTGGAGGAGAGGAGGAAAAGGGGACTTGGAGAAGGGCCACTGCTGATGGGTGTGAAGAAATGTATGCCATGTGTGACAGGTGTGGATTTAGCGATTAGGACATGTTTTTTTTTATGTGCGTGTGCGGGTCCTGGAGCTTGAACTTAGGGCGTGGGAGCTGTCCTGCGCTTTTCTTGTTCAGGTCTTACCACTTGGGCCACAGCTCCACTTCCGGCTGTTTTGGTGGTTAATTAGAGATAAGAATCTCATGGACTTTCTTGCTTGGGCTGGCTCGAGTCATGATCCTGAGATCTCAGTCTTCTGAATTGATAGGATTACAGGCCTGAGCCAGTGGCGCTGGGCTCCACTGTGGTACTTTTCCCATCCTGCAGTAGGTGCTGGGGAAGCGGGGGATAGCCAGTGAGCATCTGGGGTGTAGCTGAACTGGGCAGCCAGTGAGCATCTGGGGTGTAGCTGAACTGGGCAGCCAGAGGCTGGGGCTTTGTTCTGGAGAAAACAACTGTCTGGGGACAAGTGCCATCAGCGTTTCTAAAGGCCATCATTTTGGAAAAATGCCACTGGGACCGTCTAGGCTCTGGGGCAAGCAAGCTGGGGGAATGGGTGCTGAGGAGTCAGCCATGGAGTTGGGAGACACCAATGAATAGACCACTGCACTATAAACCTTACCCAGCCCAACTCTGGTCCCTTTCTCTCCTGGAGTCAGGGAAGAAAGAGGATGGAGTGAGGAGCTGTTAGCTGTGCTCCACGCGTGGGCTGGGGGACCCTTTAGCCTGCTTCAGGCCAAGTAAATGAATGGGCACAGGGCGAGGCCCAGCGAGCTTTGGGTGGTCATTCCAACCTCTCCAGGAGGGGAGGCCAATCCAGGGGACAGGGCTCCATGCCATGGAGGGCATGTGGACTCCGGTCTCTCCAGACCCTGGGAAGGTTGTTGCTATGGAAACAGTACAAGTGCCCACCTTCCATACCCTTTACCTGGTCCATCCCCTGCCACTAGGCCTTCATAGGCAGGGGGTGAGGGGAGTATATTCCTTTTTACTTTACTTTTGGTCTCTTTCTTGCCAACTTCATTTCCTCTAGAGGGAAGGAAGAAGGGGTGGGGGTGGGGGGAGCAAGCGGCGATTCTGTAAGTCCTGTCATTCCTGGGCATCCCTCTTGTCTTCTGCAGTTGTTACATTGGTCTCTATCCAGATGCTGGAGAGGAAACTCAACGTCCTTATCTATGAAATGGAGACACAAATGACATCAATTCGTAGGACTGTACAAGATGAAATGAGATAAACCGTGTGGAATGCTTTAACACTGCCACCCAGTAAAGCTCCGCACGTGATGTAATTACAAGAGCGATTAGCCGGGTGCTGGTGGCTCACGCCTGTCATCCTAGCTACTCAGGAGGCTGAGATTTGAGGATTGAGGTTCAAAGCCAACCTGGGCAGGAAAGTCCCCGAGAGTCTTATTGCCAATTAATCACTAGAAAACTGGAAGTGGCGCGATGGCTAAAAATGGTAGAGTGCTGGCCTTAAGTGAAAAAGCTCAGGGACGGTGCCCAGGCCCGAGTTCAAGCCCCATGACTGACCATAAAAAAATTACAAGGACTATTACTATGGAAGGACAAAAGGAATGGAAAGGGGGTTCAGGGCAGTTTGCTGTACTGTCCTGCCAGTGCTAGCT